ACACAAGCACAGCTCCCTGCTTCCTGCTCCTCTCTCTTCCCTTCTTCCTTCTCCAAGCTAGTAAATGGGCAGCTGCTGGAGACTGCTCTGTCCCTTGTGATCTTGTACTGAACAGGACGTTCAGGGAAGCTGAGCTGAGAGAGTTGGGGTCATCTGTTCAGAAACATGATGACTGTGTTTGGGCAAACATTTAAAGACAAACTTTGCTGGGTAATGTACTGTATATTTATTTGATCTGGATTCATTATAAAAAAAAAACCTTTGAGAGTTAATTACTACTACAATATTAATTCCAAATAATGGTCAATTGACAGAAGAATGAGTAGATATTATTTCCAAATAAATGGCACAACATTTAGGGGTCCATTAACGGGTACAAAACTAGTGCCCACATAGAGGTAAACTATCTTCCCAGCTTACCTTTCTCCCAAGTCATATGGTTGCTTCCTCCGTATGACGTACAAAGAAGTTGTGGCACAGAATGATTTATGTACATATATATAGGATAAAATGATACCACTATAGTGTGTAACAATTACACATCAACTGATGTGGTTGATAACCTATAAGCATATATGTAGAAATACCACCTCTGTAGGAAGCAGTGAGGTGGAAAAAGAAGTTATACTCCAACCAAAATTAGATAATTAATCAGCCTATTGGCTTACTTTATTAATTAGAAAAATATAATTAATACATTTAAGAGAATATGAACACAGCAGACACCGTGACAAGGACCTTATATTAAAATTGGCACCGTTGTCAATGCATCACACTTAATAAAAACACTGAAACAACACCATATCCGCGACCCTTTCGTTTTTAAATATTATGACCACTGATATATATCGCTGTAATTAATGGCAGAGACCACCTTGAGGTGAATATCCACTCCCCTCTAGAGCAGGAAACACATTCCAATGTAGGTTAACCCCGTGCTGATTACTATTAAAGAATTTAGGAATGATTCATTCGGTCTCTGGTGTTTTCTCCTTGTAGCTGACAAAGAAACATTGCTATATTGCTTCAATAGATTTTACACTTTGATGGCAGAGTAGAAACTGTTGCGCTTTTGAGTTTCAAAACAACATTTCATTCCGTTAGGACATTAAACAGAGGAGGCCACCATGTGGCTAATCTTGAAAGGCCAACATGTAGCCAAATATTTTCAGATCAGAAGAGCTGTAGCTAAGTCTTCCACATCATGTGGGGCATAAATTGCAGTAAGTCGGAGAGACAGAGGAGCAGAGAAAATCTTGCTATTTTCTTTGTGATTGAAAACAAATCCCGCATTTGGCAGTTCAATGTATCATCTAGCACCCATTAGCAATATGCTGCCCAGGTACAAAGAGCTTTTTCTCATTCACAGTGCTAGGAAGTGTGCCTCGGGATGAACGCCTCTCATTGTTGCAGGGTCGTGGACAGGGCCGGCGTTAGCGCAAGGCAACATAGACAGCTGCCTGAGGGCTACAGGGAACAGGGGCGGCCGCAGAGAAAAGTATTTTTGTTAGCAAAAGTGCTTGCATCAGCCCTGAGGGTGATCCGTCCGATCTATAGAGATCTGTAATTAGTCTGCGGCATCTTGAAGGACTTTGTCGGAGTCCCCGCCGACCAGTGCAGTGTAAAGCGCATTCTCCTAGGGCAGCGTTTTTATGGAAAAGATTATAAGCAGTCCTCTTACCTGTGACGGATGTGGCCCCGCCCCCTGGCTGGTTCCCCTGGCCGCTCAGGCATGTGAAGGAGCAAGGGCTGCAGGAGGAGGAGGAGCAACGGCGCAAACACAGCACGCATTCCGGCGTCAGGCTGGAGGCGCTCTGTTAGGGACTCGGGAGCGTTACTGCACAGATCTGGACTGGAAGCCACCGGCCACCGAGGACACGTTTTCTTCTCACACCCACCCCCAGACCAGACACATTGGAGTATCGGGAGCTGGCTGCATGACAGGCAGAAGTTGGAGGTGATAGAGCCTGCCTGAGGTAAGACAGACTGAGCTCTAGGAATAAAGAGTAATAAGAATAAAGAGCCGAGCCTGGGAAAAGAGCTCAACCGGCAGAGAAACCCTGCAAATAACAATCAGGGAATATCCCTGAAATAATAATGAAATCCAGCTCAGTGTGAACAAGTTGTAAATATGAGAATAAATAAAACAATAAGCAATGTGGCTCATTTATGTATTTGGAACCTATTGCTGTACTACTGCTGCTCTAAGGCCGCGGTAGTATAGATAGTAAAGTGATAAAATGCACTTTACAAAACCACAAATTGTTTGTTTGTTATCTTTCTCTGTAAAATAAGTTAAACGATCACTTTAAGCATCAGAATCACTAAAGCTTAATGGAGCACAGATATAATGTATGCTGTATGGGGATGTTGGAGTGGTGTGCGTGCGTGCGTGCGGTGGCGGGTACGGGGGGCGCAAAAATGCACCTTCGCCTGAGTTGGCAAAAATCCTTGCACCGGCCCTGGTCGTGGATATGGTGTTGTTTCAGTGTTTTTAATAAGTGTGATGCACTGACAACATTGCCAATTTTAATATAAGGCCCTTGTCACGGTGTCTGCTGTGTTCATACTCTCCTAAATGTATAAATTATATTTTTCTAATTAATAAAGTAAGACATTAGGCTGATAAATTATCTAATTTTGGTTGGAGTATAACTTCTTTTTCCACCTCACTGCTTCCTACAGAGGTGGCATTTCTACAAGGATGATTTATGTACCATGGAAAACCAACTGGATACTTGTTGGATACTCTCTGTAAACGGTCAAAATGAATTGTTAATCCACTCATGTTTAAGGCCACACTTTTCCAGCACCATTACTGTAATTTTGTAAAGTTAAGAACGAATAAGGAACAGATGTGCAATATTAGTATATTTAAGTAATATTGTACCTGCTGTTCTTTGTGTGTTTCTTTAGTGATAAAGGTCAATGATACCATGCAATGAAATGATATCCTAATATACAGTATATATAGTTACATCCACCTGCAATTACATATCTGTTTAACTCCTTCTGTGCAGTGATATCCACTTTTCATGCGAAACAGATCAGGACTGTGCCAGATTTAGTTAATGTGTGTGTGAGAGGCTGTAAGTGGAGCTGAACACATTATGCAAGTAGGCATTCACATAGCTTCCGAGGTGTACTGGCTTGATTGACAAATAACTAATCCCTATGCAGCAAAAATGGTCAGTTAGTGCTGTTTAGGGATTTATGAATAGCCTTTCATCTGAAAGTATTAAATGCACATGGTCACCTTATACCTTCTGCATGCATAGAGGGCCTCAGTTCCTATCAGTGCTAAATGTATGGCGTTATGCAACTAACACATGATTCTGTGTTTATTCCACAGATTACTCTAAATGACAGATTGCTCCGTCCCTCTTCTAGAAACATCTTTATTTGCTAACACGAAGACTTAAAAAAGATATACTGCATCAAAAAAGTTAAATGTTACAAAAACTCATGTAGAAAACATTTTAATTGTCCTTTTATAACAATATACTCCTCAGTTGCCTGTACTGATATCATATGTTTTTTTTTCTTAACACCGATGTAAACCCATCGGTGGGTTTACAAAAAATAATTTTCAATCTTTTTGAATAAATTGTTTTCAGTAAAAAAAATACCTGGTATTCCTGCCATGAAGGTCTTTGTTAAGGCTCTTCATGTTATGGGATGACAATGCTCTGTCTCCGTCTCCCCTCTTTCTCCTCCGTTGTCGCCCTATTACATGCACTGCTGGAGAATATAGGTGCTGTTGCTCAATGTGCAGGCATGTTTCCCATTGTTACCATTAGCAAGCCTGCCCTGAGAAATTACATGCAGCCAACAGTGGAGCACATAAATATAGACAAAAGGAGGCTACAAATAAACTGCAAGAGATCAAGAGATGCAAAAAGGATAAAAAAAAAAAAGGGTAAAAACAGTATTTTCTAAAAGATGAAGACATGACTATTATTTTGATGCACAGTGCCTTGGCCTTAAAAAAAGATTATGTAATTTAGTTAGGCATACCTCCCAATTTTCTGAGAGGAGAAAAAGGGACACCTTCCAGCACAATGTGTTTAGGCAATACACATCCCTGCCACGTCTCCAGTTAAGCGAACCATTGAGAATTCAAATGCCAAAAATGATTGTATAACCCAGATTTTATTTTTCACCATTACATTTCCTTTACACTGGTTTTTCAAACAATAGCAAACAAGATCATTAAGAGATAAGATAAAGGTCTTACATAGATATCTGTACATATGATCTGACCAAAAAGAAGGACATCGGAGGAGGAAAGAGGGACAGGTAGATTTGTTTCCAAATGAGGGACAGTTGGGAGGTATGAGTTAGGGTTTACTTCGACCTTTATACCAATATGATTTGATATGCTATTTGGGGTTTTTAGGTACAGCAAGAATAAGTGGTTCAAGTAGGTGGGATCTGATAGTGAAATATTATACTGATGCAATCTCTGATAAGTCAAATAGTCTATGACTTTTCCATACCTTTAATTTCTATGTTATAAATATATATATATACTGTATATATAACACATTGCTGCACACAATCACTCCCCTCCTAAGTCCTGAACATTAAAAGCCATCATCCGATATAAAATTCTCCTATTCATGACATATTCTATTTAATAAAGTTCTCGTAAAAGGTAAAACAGTTATACCACTGGTCATTCCCTTTAGCTTTTCTTTACTACTTCTAATCTCCTGGCTTTTTGAGCCATGCATAGATGGTGTACAGACAACCACTATACACTTTCAAAACTATGAAACCTTGAAATGTTCATTTTCTGCAAGGACTTGATCCCACAAACAACTTAATTGAGCTATTCAGGTGAGGCAGGCTACCTGTTACTTATTGTCTAAAGGAATCCATGACATTCTGATGGCAGCAGGGGAAGAGTTAACACTCCAGGAGGAGTTGAACTGACTGCCTATAACATGCATAGAAAAGAGTTAACATAAAACTCAGCCCTGTTCTTTATAAATATTGAGGCATTATGAGCAGAATGGATCTGTGGTTAGTCAACCTGGGTGCGTGACAGGTTCAGCTCAGCTCCTAAGACATTCTTGAGGACAACATGAAGATGCTGCAGTTCGTTCTAACATTTATCACTTTAATTGTGCAGGTGTCTGGAGGAGGTAAGACTACATTAATGCAATTAATCTTATGTATTATTACATTAAACACCATTATGGTAAATATATTAACAAAAACACTATTTTCTCTTCAGTTTCCTCTTCTATGCCTGTAGGATTAGAGGTTAGGTTACAGTTAGGGACATGTCTGGGTTGCATCAAAAGTAACAGTTATATTTAGGACTTAAGGTTTAGGAATATATTCAGGGATTAGGCTGAGGTTAAAGGTTAAATGTAAGGCTTCATTTTAGAGTTAGGTGCTGAGGTCAAGACAGAATTGGCTTTCTTAGTTACCTTCTTTTTCAGATTTGACAGATCACGTGTATGGGTATGATGATATGATTTTTTCTGGTTACTTTGGCTGTGTTTCAAGTGCACAATTTGTTGGAGTCAGCATTTTTTACACGAAAATTAACTAAGCCTTAACTATGACGTATAAAATCAACATACTGGCAATAGGGGATGCTTGTCTTACTGCGGCTGTGGAGATGTGAAGGACTAAAGTCCAGTCCATTTGGGCTAATAAATAAAAATGATAGAAACTGTTATATTGACTTGATACAAGATTTAACATGCTGTAGTTTGACTGTATTTGGGAGTCCTAATTCTGGAATGGGAGATATTTGTGAAACATTGGGAGGTATTTTTAGAATTCTGAAGGCCATCTGTGAATTTCTGAAAGTCCCGAATGACAGCTTTGCTCTACTTATTATTGTATGTTTGAAGAACCTGGGGAAGTTAAGAAACTTCCTCTTGGGTTCCCAAAAGTTTGATAGATCAGTGAGTTCCATAATCAAAATGATATCAAAGTATCCACATATATTTATTAAATACATTTCAAATGTATTTTCACCACATGTTATGACACAACATTGTACTTTGTTAAAGTGACACTAAACTCAGGAGTTAAACCTCAAAAATGCATTCAAGTAACAACTATTGACAAAAACGTATCTTATTTGTGTATCACTCAGCTGTAGATCCTCAAATCATATCTGACTTCATACTGACTTCCTTCTAGAAGGTGACTACTTTTGTACCCCATGGTCCCTGTCTGTGTTGTAAAGTAGACACCGCCCCAAGCTCGCTCCCGGGATGGACTACAATCTAGCATTTAGTTTACTAATTTATATTGAGATTGTAACCCATCATGGGATTGAGCTTGGGGGGGGTGACTACTTTACAGCATACACAGGGACCATGGGGAACAAAAGTAGCCACCCTCCAGAAGAAAGGACAGTGTCAGCACAAATTCAGAGATGATTTGAGGATCTGCAGCCGAGTGATACACAAATTTTTAATAATAGTTAAGGTACTTGAATACATTTTTAAGATTTAAATCCTGAGTTTAGTGTCACTTTATATGTTATATGTTACCATATATGTTATATGTTACCATACCCCTTCTCAGGGGCGGACTGGGCAGGGGGTAGGGTGGCAATTGCCCCCTGGGCCTCTCTGCTGTCTTTAAAAAACCCCGCGGCCGTCAGGGGGCCCGCCAGTGCAGTGGCTCCCTCC